GCGGCTGCAGGACGAAGAGTGAGTGGGCCCCGTAGCCCAAAGTGTCTCGGGATTGTGTTCGTTTTGGTTTATGACACTCAGGAGATTCATTACATGAAGCCCCACCAGCCTCACCAGTGTAGAACCAACAGATCCATCAAATCGGGCCAGTTTTGGCTTATAATTTCCCATTTTTTTAGTAACATTTCTGGCCAAAAGTACACTTTGGGATACTCTCAGTCTTTGGATTGTGTTGACTTGGGATAAAAACACTCATTCAAACATTCACTACATGAAGCCTCACCAGCATAGAACCAACAATTCCATAAAATCGGGCCAGTTTTGGCTCATAATTTCCCTTTTTTAAATCACATTTTCAGCCAAAAGTACACTTTGGGCTACTCACTGTCTGGGGATTGTGTTGACTTTGGTTTGTGACACTCAGGAGATTCATTACATGAAGCCCAACCGGCCTCACTAGCATAGAACCAACAGTTTCCTCAAATCGGGCTAGTTTTGGCTAATAATTTCCCTTTTTTTAATCACATTTTAATGCGGTCAGCATGCTCTCTCTTTGCAAGCACAGGTGTCAAACTCTGGTCTTTGAAGGCCGCTGTCCTGCAGGTTTATGATCTTTCTATTCTCCAACACACCTGATTCACATCAGGAAGTCGTGCAGAGCTTATAACCATGTTTTTAGGAGATCCGTTGATCCAGAATCAGGTGTTTAAAAGCTGGAAAACGTCCAAAACCAGCAGGAAAGCGTCCCTCCAGGATCAGATGTTGGTTTCCACTGGGGGGCACAGAGGAGAAACATCATGGCCTTAGCTAAGCATCCACTCCATGGTTTTCTCCTACACGGGCGTTTCTAAAATGATCTGACCGGTGCTGACTCGTCTCTTTGTGCTGGCGGAGACAAATAGGAAATAAAATGGTGACTGTTTGCAAGCTTTTTAGACAGACTCACCTTCAGGTTTGGCACCACAGCACTCCTCTACATGCTACAGCTAATGAAGCCTAAGGGCAGCCGGGATAAACTCCCATATAAGTGATTAAAAGCCTGTGAACCTCCATTAGGAGCAGAGCAGATTTCATAGCTTCATAGCCAGGTTTTTCTGCGGAGGGAGGATGAGTTTGGGCCATCTTCCTCTTCAACTAGAGGCTTTTTTGTGACCTGATGTCGGAAGATACATCCAATTTTTCTTTTTTGTTGGTTAAACGGGTCGGTTAACATTTAGTTCACCCCCTGTGCTCTGCTGGGATTTGAACCCACTTAAAGCTACTGGTTCCAGCGCGTAATGCTCAAAGAATGTAGGATTTACTTTAAAATGTCACAGTTTTAAAGGGGAACTTCAGTTAGAAGAGCTAAAAGAGCTAAAGACGCTAAAGCTCAAGCTAATAAAGCACCGCTTTAATCACAGGACCTTCATATAAGTCATTTTTACCCCATAAAATGCCCCCAAAGCTGCTGTCAGGACCACCGGAGATATCGTCTTATGTATAACTCATTAATGTCAGTATCTCCATCTGTTAAAATGTAAACCTGGGTGTGTTTGGAAAGCAGGATGGCCTCGTTTGAAGCTGTGAGCTGTGACAATTAACTGTTAGCATCAATCCATTAAAATAATAACGATCACATTATACCACAAAATGTATTTATGCCTAAATATAGGCCCGGAGCAGGTGTGAGAGGAGAGTTTTCCAACAATGCCAGTCTTTAGTAATAAGATGAGACTCTGAGTTAAGCACCAATCCCCCGAACAGCAGCCCAGCTTCTTCTTCTTCTTCTTTTGTCAGCCTTAAGAATCTTCATGCGGTTTTTATGGCCGTTTATCTCTTTTGGAACAATCCATCCTGTGTTGTTGAGTGGTCTGACTCATTTGTTGTTTTGTCACCTCAGAGTTACACAAACTGAGCTATTAATAGAGAGCGAGGCGGCATCGATGAGCCCTGACAGGTTTTTTTTGCTGAGCACTGCCCCGATCCCGGCCCCCTCAGTGGACTGGGTCACAGGCAGACTCTCAGTGAGGACTCAGTTATGGAGGGTCGGTTAAAAAAAAAGGTTTTAATGAATAGAAAACGCACTCAAAAGCAGTGGAAACGAGACAAAAGTTCAAAACAAGGCAGACAAAACCGTGAACAAAGTATCAAATAAGTAAACAAGACTATGAGCAAAGTATTAAATCAAAATCTTTCTTGACCAAAAGGCAAAAATAAAACTGTGAATAAAGCTCAAAATCAAAACTCTGTCTTACGAGGCGTGAACAAGACGAGGTACGAAAACTGGGGGAAACGAGGACTATTTGAACACATGAGGGAGGGGAACCCCAGGTGTACACAATAGGTAATCAAGGAAGACATGATAAACACACCAGAAATGCCCCCAGACGTGTTGGACTGCTTTAAGGTCTCACTGGAACGTAGGAAATCCCGCTGTCGGGGGCTGATTCTCTGGGTATCGTCCAGTTTTAAGCAATTTTTTTTACGTTTGCAGCATAAACATTTGGCACTTTAAACAAGGCAAGTGTCTTTATATGAGGTTTGGTTGGAGAAAAAAACTTTTCTTTGACCTCAGTACCGACTAAGTTCAGTAGGTGAGAAAATACCGTTAACCCGATTCTTTAGTTGGAAACCTGAGAACAAACCAGAGTAGATCAAACTTATAAAAATAACATTTATTGGGTCACAGTTAAGTTTATCAGCTGGGCTCTAACAGACAAAAACCTCTCTCTGGGTCTCAGTGGGCAAAGAGCCCTGAGATCTGGGTGATGGGCATTATCTCCTGGGCTCCATCCGCCTCCTCAAAGGAGGACTGGACACAACCAAGTCCTATTGGCCAGTTACCTCTGGGCATGAACAGGCCAGGTCCTAATTCATGCAGATGACAGGAACGTGGTAACAAATGGTGTGTGTGTGTTTGTGTGTTGACCTAAAAGTGGATCTAATGCAACAGAGAGAGAAAAAGAGAGAAAAGAGAGTCTGTGGACACAGCCAGAGACTTTAACACAAAAGTATAGACAATCAGTAATTTACATAGATCACGTGATAGCATACTATGCTAAAGTAAGTAATTATAGCCAAATTCTGACACTTTAATAGATTTAATTGCCACATTTTAGAAGCAATTGATGATAAATTCACTGTAATCGTGTTGTGATTCGTCTTTGTGAAGTCCTATTGGCCAGTTACCTCTGGGCAGGAACAGGCCAGGTCCTAATTCATGCAGATGACAGGAATGTGGTAACAAAATGTGTTTGTGTTGCCCTAAAGATGGATCTAACACAACAGAGAAAGGAAAAGAGTGAAAGGAAAAGAGAGAGGAGAGAGTCTGTGGACACAGCCAGAGACTCTAACACAAAATATAAAGTAGTTATAAAATAAAAGAAAACAATCAGTAATGTGATAGCATACAATGCTAAAGTGAGTAATTATAACCAAATCCTAAAACTGTCATCAGACCAGGCTAAACCACTCTTGTGACCCGGCTAAATTCAGATCTTGGGTTTGTGTGTACCTGACCTTTGACCTCCTCCTGTTAACCCGGTTCCCTGGACTTCCTGTAGGGGTTTTTTCACCGTTCTGCTTCTGGACCCGTTTCCGTAACTGTCCCCATTCTCCTGAGGGGGCTGCATCCATCACATAACTTCACATTTATTTTTATTTATTCATTGGTTTATTTGATAGGGACAAGTATGTTTCATGAAACATGTCACACACTACAACATTTTAGCTAAGGCTAATTCTCAATGCCTGTCCCCAGTTAGGCTTTTACACGAAACACAGTGACTGTACACAACAGAACAAATTACACACTAAAACATCACAGATACAAGATCAAGACAGTCAGATTATTACTGTCCACATGTCTTTGCACCTCTCAATAAAAAGTCTTTAAGTTTATGTTTAAAAAGGACCCAGTTTGACTCTCCCTTCAGTTCTGCAGGTAATGTATTCCAGGTTTTTGTGCCTTGTACAGTGAAAGCTGATTGTCCTACATAAAACAATTTTAACAGCCATCACAGGAGAAAAGCTCCTTCTCCCTTATTTTTCACACAATTCCAGATGTTTACAGACACTTAAAGTAGGAAACAGGGACCTACCACTGTGTGCTCTGGGATCTCTCTGAAACACCAATTTGGGATTTAAATGTACATTTTCTGTTTTATTTGTGCGATTCCCTCCATGCCAAACACCAGATGTTGTGTTGTGCTGATGTCTCCCTGCATCATCCTCAGAAAATCTCCAATATCAGACCCCCTGCTGAACAAACAGATGCAAACACAGTCCTGTACATGTACACATGTCCTCACATGAGGGTTTGAGTCGTGTAATTACAGGCTCCTATCATGTCAGCCTGGAACATCCAGCTCCGAGATAAGAGCAGATTTGAAAGATAAAGCCTTTTTCAGCCAGAAAGACTCGGCTAAATAAGCAGCCAGGGACAGTTTCAAAGCAGATTTTCTCAGAGTAGCTGGATATTTTGGGGCATTTATTGAGGAATGATGATTCCAAATTTGCCCAAATGGGAAATATTTTAGTCTGAACTCGCCCACAACTTAAGATATTTCAGTTGTTGGCAATCAGATGAGCAAATCAAAGACGGAAAGAGGAGCCAAGGCACGAAAATAAACAGATTTCACAATCAGAACCAACCAAACGTCACCAGGCTCCATTTCTTTATTTAAATCTCAACAAGGGTAAGAAAAAGAAAAAGAAAAAGGTAGGGGGGGGTGAAGGAGACTAATCCTACCGGAGGCCTCTCATTTCTAAGGCAACACAGCCCAGAAATGCACGGGCCGGCGTTACCATGGCGACGTGGCGGCCGAGGAACGACAGCGGAGAAGAACAAGAAGGACACAAAGTCCCCGGCAGGACCAAGTGGGATAGCTGGTCACAATGTTTGCAGGCAGAATTGATTGTACAGGAAAAAATAAGTAAAACAAAAGCTGTCACATTTCGTTTTGTTTAAATCAATAACCTGGTTCAAATCCTGGATGGATGAGGCTCTATCTATATTTTATACTATGTCCAACATTTGTTTTAAAAAACAAAACTGTTATGTAGAATAGTTGATTTCTTTTTGTATTGTTGTTTCATGGTATAAATGTGTAGAAAAATATGATTTTTTTTTTTTATTTACTTTAAGATCCAAACAATGAGTTCAGATGAAGAAAAGTTTTTATTTTCTAAGTCAGGCTTTAGGGGTTAAACAGGTTTGAGGGCTCAAACCTTTGTTTTTTAATTCTCTGAAGGCACCAAAAGAATAAAAAGGTTACAGATTCTGTCTTGTCTCAGCGTTAGTCATAACAACAGTTTAATTCATATGTTTATTAATGGATACGAGCTGTTGAGTTTCATCATTAGGTGCTAGAGCTGTTCTCAGATAAACTATATTTTTCTGCCATCTAGTGGTTTTTATCGGGACTACAGGATATAAACATGATAAATAATCCGCATATATTCAGATATGCATGCTTTTTCTTCCTTATGTGGCTCCTGCCTTTAAATATGAGGGACCAGTTCAGTGTGATATGAACTTAAAATAAACAGAAAAACATGATCAGGAAAAAAAAGTGCTTCCATCTAAATACTGTGCATTTGCATTCAAATTCAGCTCAGATATTGAGATATGAAATATGTCAGAAATGACAGGAAGTAAAGTCCGATACGTCTGTTCTGGTTTCTGTGCTTTAAAAACATTTGCCAGAGAAGCCCAGAGTTTAAAAAAATCCCTTTATTAGCATTGCCAGAAATAGACATTCAAAGATTTAAGTTCACTTTAAAGTGCTTTACAGAGAAATAAAACAGTCCCAATCGGGAGCTATAAAACCAGATCTAGGATCCAACATTATATATTAGAATATGAGAAGAAAGTCATTTCAAAGGAAGGCAACCAAAGGTGACAAACAGTACAGCGTCAGCACTTAAATGCAAAAGTTTGAGCAAAAAATTGAGTAAATTCTGCCATATTTCCAAAAAGCAGAAACCTAAAGCTTCTTTTTGAAGTTCACTTGCAAACCGATACTGGATTTTGTGTTCAGTATCAGCATCAGAGGTTCAATAACTCTCTTTTTACGAATTTCCCTTCAATTTTTAGTGGTTCTGGTCTGCGCCTTAAACACATTGAGTTAATCAGAGGCATAAAAAACCTAATATATTGTTTAAATAGGGGACTGAGATGATGAGAGGCTTTGTTTGTATCAGCGTGAGGTCTCAGCAGAGGAAATTTTTCACTTGGAAATGCAGAAACGGGGCCAGAAGCTCGGATTCGAAGCGTCTTTTTTGGTGGTGCTCACTGCGGTCTGACAGGGTTGTCGATCCTGAAGCCTCCGCCTGTAAAGTGGGGCCTGCTGCCCAGCTGGGGCAGAGGACCCAGCTGCTCCAGCTTCGTCCGGGTTCTCTGCTCACTTTGAGACACAAAAAGCTTTAAGGCCGGGCTCCCTCAGGGCTACAGGCTTTAAACAGCAAAGGCGGACGTTACCTGTGGAGCTTCTTCTGACTCAGGTACTTCTTCTTAACGTTCGCCAGCTCGTTGGCCAGTCTTTGGTTCTCACTTTTGTACTCGTTCATCTTTGAGTCGAGCATCGTCAGCTCCGCTATCAGCGCCTGTGCAGCGACATATTATGCAAAAACCAAGTCTTTAATCATTTGATTGTGTACATTTGGGACTGTGGAGGGCCTATCAGCAGGCAAAGTGTGAAAAAAAATGACTCAGTCATGTTTTTGTGGGCTGCCTCAGTTTGAATCCATGAGATAAATCAGGAGGTTTCAGGAGTGGGTAGTTTCTGACGTCATTAGCTCTAGCTCATTATAATATTCCAGCCTTTCACCTGCATGTTGCCCCCCCCCTCAGCTTACTCCCCTATCTGTGGAGACGTCGTGGTAGCGTGGTAGCGTTAGCATGGTAGCGTTAGCATGGTAGCGTTAGCGTGCCTACGTGGGCACACCTCCCGGAAGAAGTGGGTGGATTGCCTGTGTCTCATTTGCATTTAAAGAGACAGGCACTCCAAAGCGAGCGCTCTGAACGGGGCTGTTTTGGGTTAGGGTTAGGGTTAGGGTAAGGGTTAGGGTTAGGCAGGGGGACTGAACTGCTATTGGGCTTCATCCTTATGGGATTTTGACCAAAGCTTGTCACAGACATTACATTAGGACCAGGGAACTAGTTTAACTTGTTGAAATAGGGTATAACATGTCTCCTTTAAAGCTTAGAGAAGTCTACGGGCCTAGGACCGACCCGGAGGGGTTGCAGTGGAAACCAGACTCAGACGGAGGGACTAAAGCCAGGAGACATAATGGAGGATGTGGTCAGACCTTAAGCTTTCTGGTCCGGTCTCGGATCGTCCACTGGCACTGCTGGAGCTGCTCGGCCGCTTCTGGACCCGGCCGGCGGGCCAGAATCAGCTTCAGCTCCACATAGAGCTTCTCCTTTTCCTGCGTGAGGGCACGAGAAGAGAAAACTCCTGAGTCAGAACAGATCCAAACAGATCCAAACAGATCCAACAGATCCAAACAAAGCCAAACAGATCCAAACAGATCCAACAGATCCAAACAGATCCAAACAGATCCAACAGATCCAAACAGATCCAAACAGATCCAACAGATCCAAACAGATCCAAGCCGAAACAGAATCTGTCCCACTACTGTCCAATCCACCCACACAAAGGATCGCCAATTCCTGTTAAACCATAAATCTCACAACCAACTAGCAACTGCCCACAGAAAACTTTGCATTGAGGGTTTACCTGTAATAGGAGTTCCCGTTCCTCGAGCTCCTGGGTTTTAGCGATCAGCCGCTTCTGAAGAGCCTGAACCTTCTGGATGAGCTGGTATTTTCCGGGGTCATTTCCCTGGAGGAGAGAGAGAGGGAGTGGTGGAAAAAATATGTCTTTTGCTCTTGAAACCAGACGTGAACATGTTGGTTCTTAGACTGGGAGACAGGTAGAATAGCCACTGGATGAAGGACGCACAGGCGAGTCCAGGACGAGGAGCTCACCTCCAGCTGCCTCCACCTGTGGATGTTTATGGGCCTCAGCTGCTCCTCCAGGACGCTGCTCCTCGTCCTCTCTCTGAGCAGCTGTTTCTGCAGGTGGAAAATCTCCTGCCTGCAGCAAAGCGTCTCACTTTAATACCAGCTAACACCTGAGAACTGCATCTACCCAGAAGTTCCCCTTCAGAAAACCCGGTTCTTTGGAAAACACTTGCTCGACTTTTGGGATTAATTATCGTATGAAGGGAAATGGGGACTGCCAAGAATCTGGTTTTTAACTCATTGGCTGCCAAAGACATCTATAGACGTCTTTTATGTTTTTCAACGAGAGTGGCTGGGGGACGATCTGCTAAAGCTTTTCCGTAAATATCAGGCTTCTAGACAGAGTATGTAGTAACAAATTGACCCTCTAGGGGGCAGTGCCACTTTTGATGGGAGATGAGCATAGACTGTAGGCAAATAAGAAAAAGGTAACGGTTCGCTATGAGAGAACATGTCGCCGGTGAGACGCAAGTCGAGGAAGAAAGGAATAAGGTAGAAACTAAAAATTTTTCCTGATGATAGAAGAGAGTTTACTCTTTCTTTTGGTGTGTTCGGTGTTTACATAACCATAGCACAAACTATTCTGTGGCTCTTGAAAAATTAGTCAAAAAAAAAATTAGTCAAAATTAGTCAAAATGCTCAAAAAACTCTGGCAGTATGGGACTCTGAAAATGGCTGGCAGTCAATGACTTAAGCAAAAAAAATCAAATCTAAGTGTTTTTTGCTGCTTCCTTTGGAGGTTACTCTTACCTTCGACTTTAAATCTGTCCTCATCTCGCTGCCTTTCTCTTTGAAATCTTCCTCTCCTACTCTCCCTACAGCTTTCTCTGGTCGTCCAACTTTCCTGTGTCCTCCCTGCTTGCATCCTGCCGTCTGTCTCCATCTTTTTAGAGGAGCTTTTCTTTACCTCAGCTCCTCCGTGTTGGGCAGAGTCTTGTCCAGGATGCTCTTCCTGCGCCGGAGCTTCTTGATCTCCAGCTTGAGCAGGTGGATGTCCTCCAGCCTCTGGTTGTAGTGGAAGTCCCCCTTGCTGAGGATGGACTGGTGGATCCTGATCTTCTCGTACAGCAGCGCCCGCTCGTCGTTGCGATGTAGAAGCTGCTTGCCCAGACTGTCCCGCTCTCTTTTGACCTAAGACAGGAGCAGGTGGTCAGACGCCGGTCTTTGCTCCAGCCTCAGCTCATTTGCTTATGTTTATGTTTATGTTATGCATCTGGCAGACGCTTTTATCCAAAGCGACTTACAGAGTAGACACAATATTACATTTATCATCACTATGACAATAAGCTATTGTAGTGTGTGAAGCTACCAATTAACTCATTGACTGCCAAAGACGTCTATAGATGTCTTTTCTGTTTTTCAACGCGAGTGGCTGGGGGACGATCTGCTAAAGCTTGTCCGTAAATATCAGGCTTCTAGACAGAGTATGTAGTAACAAATTGACCCTCTAGGTGGCAGTGCCACTTTTGATGGGAGATGAGCATAGACTGTAGGCAAATAAGAAAAAGCTAACGGTTCGCTATGAGAGAACATGTCGCTGGTTAGACGCAAGTCCAGGAAGAACGGAATAAGGTAGAAACAAAATGTATTTTCCTGATGAAAGAAGAGAGTCTACTCTTTCTTTTGGTGTGTTCGGTGTTTACATAGTCATAGCACAAACTATTCTGTGGCTCTTGAAAAATCAAAATGCTATAAAAACTCTGGCAGTATGGGACTCTCTGTTCTGAAAATGTCTGGCAGTCAATGAGTTAAGCACAGACTCTTCTGGCCATTGAGCATAAACACCTGGGAAAACACATTCCTAAAGTAGAGTGTAGGGAGGATGTTCAAGATAGGGACGAAACACATTCTGCCTTCACTCCTGATTCTGATGAATGGGACTTTAGCAGCTTTCTGCATAGCTGAAAAGTCGTTCCATTTATTAGAATCAGGTGTGCTGGAGCAGGGAAACTTGGAGAAAATGCAGGGCAGGGTGCCTTGAGGACCAGGATTGGGAAACACTGCCATAGACTGCTATAGATTTGCTCTCCGGTTCCCCCCCTGGTACCTGATCCAGCTGCTTCCTCTGCTGGATCTGCTCCCCCTCCGTGTCGGCTATGATCTTCTGCAGCTTCAGCTGCTCCGCTTTTTGACTTTCCACGCGCTGCTTCGTTTCCTCCAGCTGCAGCTTCATGGACTGGAGATCTCCCTGTCGGCGGACACAGAGATGATCAGACCTTTTTTCACCTTTAGGCAAGGCAAGGCGAGTTTATTTGGAAAGCACATTTTGTGTACAAGACAATTCAAAGTGCTTCACAGAGAATTTAACCCTGTAATGCCAAATGTATCATATTTGATACATACGGTTTCTGAAATGTTTTGCATCTGACACATTTTGCATAATTTAACGGTAAAAACTTTGCTCAAAATCCTATTGTACACAATCAGATACACTTGATAAGACTACACAAAACATAATCTTGACTTATCGCATAGTAATAAATTATTAATATTAAAATTTTATTTTTGTTTTTTCTTTTTACATATTTTGTTAAAAGGCCAAATAGAGACTTAAAACCAAAAAAAAGTAAATTTCTGTTTTGTTTTATTCTTGGATCAGGCTTTAAAGGGTTAAAAGCAGAAAAACAAGAAACATAATAAAAATTAGACAGATGAAAAGTGAAGGGTGCAGATAAAATACGTTAAATTTCCACATGCACAGTTAAACGGAAGCGTTTTCAGCCTTGATTTAAACATTCAGAGTTGAAGCCTGTCTCCCTCACTTTACTATGAGTGGACGTTAAAACTGTAAAACAACTTCAAGTAGCCATAACTGGGGGACTCTGCTGTGATGAATAATGCCGGGAAAGCAGCCAGTAGTTGTAAAGTTGTAAATCTGAGGTCCAGCTGCTCTCCATGTATTTCGTTTAGGAAATGAGGCACAGCCAATTGTGTTTCCTTCTAAGATGAAATCACTACCAACTACTTTGATAAAGCCCTTTTGATTTTTTACAGCTGGATGAACCAGAGCTGTTTTCCAGCTGAATGTTGGTGGTGTCTGATAAAGTCATATAAAACTGTATGTAAAAATGCCTTTACCTTTAAATGCTGTAAATATTTTTGTCTCCTAACCTTTAACAAGTGCTGTGCCTGATGTTTCCATTTAGTCTTTTCTAACTTCACGGAAGGTCATAAGTTTAAAGTGTACATCAAAAAAGGAGAACAAAGCGCAACTGTGCTTGCTGGGCTCCACTGACGATGTGAGATATGACACTCCTTTCTACAAAAATGTCCAACGATTAGTTATGCCTTGTTTGTTTAGTCTAATAAAAAGCCAAGAGGGGAAGGCTAAAGTCGAACAGTGTTTCAGACGCAGTACTGGCGATAGGCTGCGGACCTCTTGCCTTTTTGCAAAAAGCTTGTACTACAGAGTCTGTGTCGTTCATTCGGATTCCCACTTTTGAAGAATTAGAGTGTTTGAACCTAACAGTGTCCTCTCTTATTTTGACCTTTCCCTGTGGTAGTTTTAAACAGCACCTTTAAGGCTTCTTTTTCCTTCTCCAGGCGCTTGTAGTCCTGCTGATCTTTCGCCAGGGCCTGCTCCTTCCCACTGATCTCGTCCCTCAGCCGGGTCACCTGGTTGTTCATGGTCTTCATCTTTCGCTTCATCTCCACAATTTCCTCCTGAGGCAGAGAGACCGGAGGTGAGTCGAAGGAAGAGGAACACAACAGTCCAGCGAAAAGGCAAAATCCGTCTTTAGCTACTCACAATGAGACTGTATTAGCATTAAATGGAATTTATTCAATCAGGAAAATCAAAAAAGATATTGAACTGATTGTTTTCAGACTTTTACTTCATGGTAAAACTAAAATATAGAATATAAAACACAATCTGGGCATCACATTGACAGCTTTCCTGACTCTGGATTAACCCAAACAGTTACTGACAGACCAAAACTGGGAAGCAACTGCAGGAAAACTCCACTTTTAGGGTGCAGCATGTGTCGTTTGAAGGTTTTTTTCAAACTGGACGACACAAACCATCGTTCTTACCTGAGTCTCAATGAGGTTTTTACTGTAGAGGTTTCTCTCAGACACGACAGACTCCAACAGGTTCTCCTGCTGTTTGACCTTACACTCCGCCTCCGTCACTTTCTTCTTCCAGTCAAATATTTCCATTTCTCTGACTTCCACGTCGTTCATTTTTTGCTGCACCTGTAGGAGGAAGGAAAGTGTCCCCGGCTTAGACTGAAGTAGTAATAAAATATTAGATATTAATAAATAATAGGGTAAACTGTACTGTGCCTTCTGCATGAGGCTGCTGGTCTCGTTGATGTAGCGGTCCCGCTCCTTTTCCAACTGCTGGATGATCTTACGCTGCTTTTGGGCCTCCTGCCGGTAGCCACTGATCTCGTGCTCTAAGGCCTTCTTGTCCTGCTCCAGGAGCTTGACGAAGTCCTGCTGTTTCTCGGTGGACTGCACAGCTTTTATCATGTTCTATCGAGGCAGGAAACCAGCACAAATGAGATGTTTTCACTCTGGATCATTAAGTTAGGAACCTGCTGTCCATCCAGCCTTTATGAAATGTCAGTATTTACATGGCATTGTGAAATTAGCACTGATGGATCTAAGCTTCACTGGATACCTTATTTAAGTTATCCCGCTCTCGAATCAGCTCGTCTTTGGCTTTTTTGTCAACATCCACTTGCTTTTGGGAAGATTCCAGCTCTGCAGAGGGAGAAAAATGGACATCTTTACCAATTACAAGTTAGGAATAATCATCTGGAGAGGTTTGGACTCAGGGGGGACGAACTACACAGATGTAGACGTCGGTGCAGTGAGAGGCTGAGTTTCTCCAGTAACTGGACTTTTCTGATGTAATTTCCTGTGATTTAGCTTGGCTCCACACAAAATCAGTCCATTTGGAGCAACTTTAGATCCTCTGAGGACTCAGAGTGCTCTCAAACATCATAAGAACTATATCCATTTTCCCCTGAGTCTTTCCATCCATCCATCCATCTTCTGAACCTCTTATCCCCTGGGGACTGTCACCCTGGACGGTCCCCAGTCCATCACAGGGATACACAGAGACACACAAGGACCAACAACCATGCACACTCATACTGACTCCTATGGGAAATTTGGATGTCCAATCAACCGCCCTCCAATGGATCTTTGTCTAATTATTTTTAGCTCATTAGAGTAATGAGCCTGAGTTATTCTGCTAAATTAATAAACTCAACATAAACATCCAGCAGAGATGCACTGATGAGATGAGGTGGTCATCGGTGAGTTTTCATGCAAACAGCTTGTAAACTGAACTAGCTTGAGGCTAACATCCAGTAATGGCTATATAATATTTACTTAATCTGTTTTTGTTTACTGATACGTTGAGATATTTAGCACATTGCTTTAGACTAAAAGACTGAATAAAACACAGATAGACAAGCTTCCCAACCTTTCTCCAGACCAGTGATTTGAGCTTTGAGGGTCTCCCTTTGAACTTCTACATCAGATTTCTGCTCCTCCAACTGGTGGAACTTCTTCTGGATGGCTTCCCTCATCTTTGTTTGTTTGGCAACCTCCTGGCGCATGTGACCCACCTCATCTTCTCTCATCTAACCAGTGGGAAGGGAAGTGGTGTACCATGGATTACCAAAAAGAGAGGGAGGAAAAGGGGCTTTGTTAGAGTCAGGACGGCAGGATTTAGTGTGTCTCTGCTCTTTTTCTATGTTTTATAGTAAACAGCGCCCCCAAGTGGTTACACACATGCTTTGTTTATTCTTTATTCTTTGTCAACGTTAACCTGAATGAATAAGCTGGGGGTTTCTTCTTGGATGGGAGCATACCTTCAGCTCATTTGTTATCTGCTGGTTTTCCAGAGACAGGCGGTCTTTGGTTGATGAGAGCTGCTCGTTGTCCTGCTGTAGTTTGGTGTTCTTCAACTGCATCTGCTCCAGATCCTTGGTGGAGCGCTCGTGCAGGATCTGAAAGGAGGAAGAGGAGGCATGCAACCTAAACTAACATATCAATCTGAATTTACAAGTATTAATGCGCATATAATAGACATAGCAGGTTTTACAGAACGTCCTTTGAGTAAGCAGATTTAACTGACATACAATTTGGGTTAAAAGATCACATGTTCCCAGCATAAGACTGAACAAAAGGAGTTTAATATTACAGAAATAACGATAACATTGGATTTCTTTTTAAATGTCAGTGTGGAGAGAAAACATTGCCTAATATATTGGTATGTAATATGCATGATATTATCTGTGTCTACTTTTTGTCTACTTACAAATGCTTCAATTGTTAATTAAATAATTATTCATACTACAGGAGCTTCTTTGACAAAGTATAATTTGACATTTAGCTAAAACCTTAAGCAGAAAGCACAGCTCTTGGCCGGCTCAGCAACCTGACCCCCAACCCTTAATTAGAGCCTGACAGAAGGATTTCAGCTGTGCAGCTAAAAATGGAGTCTTTGAAAGTCTGCAAACTGTTCGGATAGATTACAAAATGTTATCTTTAACACTCCCTTTCAGGAAAGCTTAAGTCACATGACTGCTAAGTTGACTTTTATGCTAACTATGAAAATTTCCTGTAAAACAGCAGAATGTTTAGGAAAGTTTTTGTTGATGATTAAAAGTTATATCAGAGTTCAGATCAAAGATATCAGTTTTTATTTTTTTAGTTATTATTATTTTTTACAATAATAACAATACTTTGCAGCCCCCTGCTTACCTTCAGCTCTTTGAGCTGCTGCTCCAGTCTCTGCTGCTCCTCTTTGGCCTTCTGGCCCTGAACATTCAGGGCTTTGATGTCAGCCATCTTGGCGTCCATGTCCACGTGCAGCTGCTTGACCTCCTTGTCCAGCTTTTCCTTCAATCTCATCTCTCTGGAAATCTCGTTCTGCTGTACCTGGAGCTCCTGCTGGAGCTGGGTTCATGCAGACATGCAGGGAGGAAACAGCTTCATATAATAGCTCCATTTAAACTGGGTCTAGCTGTAGTTTTGTTTTTTTTTTTGTTTCCCCTGTTAGGCCCACAGCTCAGTTCAACTCTAATCTAAACCTACTGGGTTTCTACGCTATACGGAGTTTAGTCCACAAGTTTAGAAAAGCCTGAGTCCCCTATGAGTCTACACCAGGGGTGCTCAATACGTAGATCGCGATCTAGCAGTTGATCTCCAAGGTGCTATTGGTAGATCGCATGACAAGGTGAGGTGACATTGTCATGAACTGACGCTATACAAATAAAGTTGAGTTGTTTTGAATAAAAACTAGACGTCAGCCTATCAGCCATCCCGTCACTTGATTGATACACAGGACAACCAGTTTGATGACATCTGATTTTTTCCGTACAATTAGGTCAATTAGCAAAGCTAACAAGCTAGTTGGTAGTTACATCCTCATTTCTCGCTCGTTTTTTTTTCTCTTAAACGTAACATAGGTTATGAAAATGAGTGGGGAAGCTGGACCAAGTAATATGTAACCAGGTAAAATGTACATAATTATGTGGTTATACATCATGTGGTTATACATCAACATAAGTTGTAAGAATCCTCAATATATTTCTCAATAAATATAACGGGTAAATCATTTTGACTTGGTCATTTCAAAAGTAGCTCCCATGCTAAAAAAAGTGTGAGCACCCGCCCCCTGGTCTACATCAACCTGCTAAAGTGTCTGTTTTCTGTAAGGACTTACCTGAGAAACACTCTGGAGGGAACTCTCCCGTTGGGCCTCTATCTCCTGCTGCGTTGTGATGGACTTGCTTAGTTTCTCTCTCAGACCCTCTACCGTTCTCTCCAGCTGATTCTTCTGATCCGTCAACTCTTCGGTCATCCTTAGGAGATCACTGAGAGAAAAGAGAGGGGTAAAATATTACAGAAGGTCCACTAAAGGGAAGGGGAGGATGTGTTGGGAGGATAGTGCGCTCACCTCCGTGCCTTCTCTGAGGAAAGGCCAGCTTGTTGTTCGGTTATTTTTGTAAGGTTGAAAACTTCTCCTTTTAAATTCCTGATACTCTCTTTGTCCTTCTTCTCTACCTCATGGGCGGCATCGACCATTTTCCAAGCTTTGTCCAGCTCCTGAAATGTAAGAGATGTCATTTTATCTGACATAAAATTTCTTATTGAAGAGCCTACATAGACCAGAAATCAAATAATGACTTCAACTTATGTCAGAGATTTCTAGGGTGCAGAAAGAGCCAAGTAAGGCTAGCCAAGCATGGGTATATTTTGACAACAAAGTTGGTAAAAATTCTTAAGGGATTTGGGGTGTGATGTATACTGTGAGTATGAATATGTGCATTGATATATCTATGAATATAGATAACTGATAAGTGCTGTCATGTTCTGTGTTGCTGCCGGTGTTTGTGTTTTTGTTGTTGAATGTCATCTGTTTGTAACTGTGTTATAAAAGCGAAATAAATAAAAAAAACTTTAATGAAAAAACAACAACTTCTCATTAAAATTTTCAAGAAGTAAAATAACTCCTGGATTATATTATATTATATTATTGGAAAATAAGCTGACTCAGAGCCACGGACACACAAATAAATAAGTGAAGGGTGCAAAAACTGAACCAGAACACCTGTTTTTATGCTTATTTACCCTTTTCAGTGACACTATTGTTGCCTCGTCTTCTTGAGACAGTTTCAGAGCAGCTGACACTTTGGTCGACGTTGACAGAATCTCTGCATTCAGCTCCCTGCATTTCGACATCAGCCTTTGCTCATTTTCTCGTGACTTCTTCAGGGCCTGGATGAGCTTCTCGTACTCGACCCGGATCTTGTCCAGGCTTTTGTCCCCGACCAGCTGGCTGAGGACAGCCTGAAACTCCTCCAAGGACTCAAAGGAGTTTTCTCCTGTTGCATCCTTTTCCTGGAAAACCAGCAGAGAAACAGAGGACAGGGGTTAAAGATAGAGATTAGCAGTTTTATTCAAATAACAAAGAAACTCCAACACATAATTAAAGATTTCGAGAAAAATTTGTGACAAGAAAAACAATTCCGTACATAGAGGATTTAAATACAGTAGTTAAAGTAAATTAAAGAAAGAGATGAGCAGTTTTATCAAAATGAAAAACACACTCCAACACACTCTCAGGTATATAATTAAAGATTTCGAGAAAAATTTGTGACAAGAAAAACAATTCCGTACATAAAGGATTCAGAATATATTCCTTCCCTCCCAAGTTCATTAAAATTAACTGACATTGTGTTTTTACTAAATGTTTTATGGGCAAACACGTTTGACTATTGCAAATAACACATAGATAGGCCGAGAAAGACATAAAGCAGCTAAAATACTTTCGTCAAGACCTCTTTCAACAACCGGTTTGAATTAGTCCTTAAACATTAACATACATACGTGTAAAAATGTCACAAACGTCAAAGCTT